ATCAGCTGATCAACATATTCGGCAACAAGCTCCGGATGATTGCGAGCTTTCTCCATCATCTCTCTACGAACACAAATTAGGTCTGCCAAAAATTGAATAGCTAATTGGATACGAACCCAAAACACGCAGCCAATGCCTGTCGACATTTCAGAGACTGCGGATTCTTTTCCTTTGCTATCACCGACTTCAAAACATCACAGTTATGACTGTCCATGATAGCTTGTAGAGGCGGGAATGCTACAAAATCATTTATGTTTATCATAGATGGCAAAATATTTCTGCTTTACCTTCTATATTTTCAATGATTTGCTCAGCTGGTCTAAATCCACACAGCAGCTCAAATTGGGTGAGCGCATAGGCAAGCTCGGGCTTATGATGCCTATCTGGGTAATGAACGGGATCTCGTTCATGTAGTCGTGCAGCTTGCTCCTATAAAAGTCTGCTGACTATTTGAAACGTTTTTGAGGGAGAGATGTAGCTCTTGTTTTGCCTTGTTTAAAATCAAATTCTGAAGAAATACTTCGAATGTACTTACCTTGGTAGGGTGCGCTTGTAGACTGAGAGATCTTGCAATAGACATGACTTTCATGATAAATGGCAGATGAATATCCTCTTTCAGGTTATTATTACACAAGTAACTAGCCGAATGACTTTTTGCAATGAATGATGATAGTCGCGTGGACGAGTTCGACAGAACGGCGGGTCCATCCGGATGGGTACCCATCCACAACTGAAAACAGCATTTTCACTAAATTTACCTTTGCGTTTTGATCTTTTGATTTCGAGACCCGTGGTCGTGTTCGTCTCTGAACTTCGCTTTTTCAGGAACAGTGAGCGAAGTGCGTCGGGAATGCTGCTACATTTCAAGTACAGTTTATGACAGCACCGTCACAAGTTTCTTGCAAGAATATGAGAATCAACATTTCCAAATTTGAACATGATTGACTTTTTTGTATTTACATAAAATGATGAAAAATTGCTATCAACCTCGGCATAAGTCTCATCCTCGTCCACTTTGAAGTTACTATGACCAGCTGCAAATAATCGAGCAACCTCACTCTCGTTGCCTTGCTTTCCCCATTTGTACTTCTTTACGTGGCACTCAAGTCGCTGCATCGCCCACCTGGCTAAGCCAACTGAAATAGAAAGTACTTCATTCGGCTCAGAAAATAATGGAAAAAGATTATGACGAAGAGGATATGAGGAGTATTTTTCCAGGCAAGATGAATTTGTGGAAATATGGAAAGATGAGATATAGAACCTACTGCGAATACTTGCACGTGACTAGGAGACGACTGATCTAGTCTCGATTTAATCAAGGATATATGCGAAATCAGGAGCAATTTTGAGACGATTGAAGAGATACCCGTTCATCACAAAGGAAAATGACGCGTCCCGCAATATTTTTGACGTAAGCTACGAACAGGTTTACATGCAAAAAGTTTGATCTT